CCCCCCAAACCCCCCGGAGCCCCTGCCCACCTTGGTGACGCCGTTCTCCTTGCAGACGTGCACGGTGCTGTAGGTGTACTTGGCCTCGATGAAGTCCTTGCTGTAGGTGACGTTGGGGCTCTCCACGAGGAATGGCTCTGCCATTGTTCCTGGAGCTGCAGTGGCAGGAAATGGGTGTCAGCGCCGCTGGCCTGGCACGCCGGGCCACCCCCCCGGCCCTCCCCGGGCCCTCCGCCCTGCTGGGACGTGGCTGTGCCGCCCGTGGGGACCTTGGCTCCCTGCCCTGCAGGGTGGTGGTGGCGCTGGGACGGTCACTGCAGCCCCTTCCCACCCGTGTCGCGGGACAGGGGGGGTTTTGGGGGGGCAGCCTCACCCCAGAACCTCACGGAGGGCCCAGAGAGATGAGGGGGGCACCGTCCCCGTCCTGCTCAGGGCAGGCAGGGACTGTCCCTGGTGTCCCCTCGCTGGGGGTGGCACAGCAAGGCGTGGGGGACTAGGGATGCTCCCAGGGGACAGGGGTGTCCCTGCACGCCGCGGGGCGTGGAAACTCGGTCTTCCCTCCATCCCTGGGGGTGACAGAGGTCGCTTCCAGGTGACGTGGGGACAACCCCGCACCCTGCGGTGGCGCACAGGGAACACGGGGACAAGGGGTGTCCCTGCTGCTGAGGGTGTCAGAGCGTGCAGGGGACATGGGGACAGAGGCTGTCCCAGCTCCAAGGCATGCAGAGAATTTGGTGACAGGGGCGGTCCCTACGCCCTGGGGTGACAGATGGGGCAGGGGACGTGGGGACCAGGGCTGTTCCCACTCCCAGACTTGTCCCAGAGGACATCGCGACCACGACTGCCCAGCTCCCAGGGGTGGCAGAGGGGACACGGGGACAGCGGCTGTCCCAGCACCCCGGGGTGGGGGGGAACACGGATCCGCAAGCCCGAACCCCTCCGGGGGTCTGTCCCGCCCCGCTCGGGCACTCACCGGACCGGGCCGCGCCGGGCGCGCAGGAGCCGGAGCCGGTGTCTGAGTCTGTATCGGTGCCCGGTGCCCGGTGCCAGTGGTTGTGCCCGGTGCCCGTTGTCCGGTGGCGATAGCCTGTGCCTGGTGTTCGGTGCCCAGTGCCGACAGCCGGTGTCCGGTGTTCAGTGTCCGGTGTTCAGTGTCCGGTGTTCAGAGCCCGGTGCTGGGTGCTCGGTGTCGGTGCCCGGTGTCCCGTGTCCCGTGTCCGGTGCTGCCCCGCGGGGACGATGCGATCGCGCTGCGGCCGCCCCGGCTCCCGCCGCTTAATCGGCTCCGCGGCCCCGCCCCGGCCCCGCCCCC